AACCCCCCCCCCCCCCCCCCCCTCTTCTTCTTCCTTCAACATTGAAAAAGGAAAATACAAAAGAAGAAGCAGCATTTATTTTTCCTATAAAGTTGTATTCAACTATATCGGTGCTGTATCTTTGGCTCTTTATCCTTGATATGTTGGGGTAACATTGCACCATTTTAACAATTCAACATATGTGCCTTGTCGTGCCATTTCCCATCTGTTGAGAAATCCACGTCCTATATGTTGCCAAATCTAGTTTCCAACATGTTTCCTGTATGTGGCAGTTGTCGATTTTGTTGTTGCATTATGCATATTTTGTTATGAATACAGATTATAGTTATTGAGAATGGAAAAGTAGTAGAACAAGGACCACATGAGGTTCTCTTATCGAAGGCTGGGAGATATGCACAACTTTGGGCACAGCAGAATTCAACTGTTGATTCCATCGATGCCTCCATCAAACTAGAGGCATAAATACCTCACTCAGGTTAGTACTATAGGGGAAGATGAGCAAAATTTTGAGGGTTCTCACCATTGAATTTCTTGATCATTTGCACTATAAGTTCTACAAGTGTATATTCAATTAATTTTTGTAGGTCCCTTCCTCTCAGCAAAAAAATTTTTCGGCCTCTGTAGCAATTGAATGTGCAACGTTTATTATAATGTCTATCCATAATTTGCAAAGATTTCAAATGTGGATGTCATTGACTATTATTATTATTATTTTTTTAAAAAGAGAAGAATAACTAGTTTACATTTTTGTAAATATAGATTTAAAAGTAAGAAACTATTTTCATACATCCTCCAATTAGTTCTCATACGAACCTTCTAGTTTAGGAAGCCTAACAAATCGGTTCCAATACTTAATATTCTGAGAAGTATGTTTTATGTTTTCGGTGACTCGATTTTTGCAATTTTGCAAAATGCTTCTCATTTTCAAAATGTAAAATGTGTGTTAATTATAGGGGTTATCAATTTTTTAATAAATTGTATTCATTTCATTATTCTTCAATATCTAATATTTTACACGAACAGTTTTATAATAAAATAATTGTCTAAAATAAGTTTTAACATAAGCATTAAAAGTAAATTGACCATAATTAGACTAATTTGCACAAAATATTATAACATCTTTACATTAAAAAAATATTAACTAATAAATGTAATTAGAAATAGAATAGAAGGAAATTTGATGAATTAAAATAGCATATTTTGAAGATTAAATATAAAATTATTATACTGGTCAAAAATTGGGGAATTCGATTTTTCCTCGCAATTAAACACAGTCGGAGAATTAGATAGTACAAAATGCAATTGAATTATAAACCCTCGGCAAGCAAAGAGTGGCCTTGCCCTTTACAATCAATTCCATTGGTGATATCAATTAACTATACTCGTTGGCTTAAACAAAACTTTAATTCAATGGAGTTATGATGTAGTTACGATTTTTCCCCGCCACATATAACATTAATATAATGTCATTAAAACCCTTAAGACAAAGGTCTAGGTGTGTGAGGTGCAAAAGATTCGAGTTAAAACTAGCTAGCAATGTATGTGTCTGACATATATATTTAGCAAGACTTTGAAGACGTTTACCGAAGACGTTAGAAGCATATAGGGAAACTTATTGAAATATTCTAAAATAAAGAAGAAAGATCAAAAGGATTTTGTAACAATATGTTGCATTTGAAAAGATAAAAGAAACTTGTAATAGTTTAATAAAAAGTTCTTGAAAACATATATAGAAAAAATATGAATCATAAAATTGGATCAACCTATATGGTTCATGTAAAGGAAGTGACAATATAAAATGTCAAAGTGCCTCATTTGGAATCAAACAAATTAGAAATAAGGCTAGACATAAAGACTGAAACTAAGAATTTTAAAAATATATTATAGTATTTTTTTGGACTTCATAGTTAAAGATATATTATCTCGCACTAAACAACATTTTTTTTGGCTTCTGTTATGGTGTAGAGTAAAGAATATTTGGTTTTTCAATAATGCAACAAACGAGTCCATGCTCAATCCTGTATTTTAGGAGTTGGGCATGTTTACCGATAAGTTGATACATATTATCATTAGGGTTCTCGTTTGTGGGAATGTTCTGAAATCATAGGTCAAAAATTGGGGAACTCTACTTTCCCTCGTAATTAAACATGATCGGAACTTATGTTAACAATAATCAACTTGTAAAAGTAATATTACCATAAAACACTTCTATGCAAAAAATCGCATTTCAATGCCATGAATTTTGTATCAAAACTGCAAATTTTATAATCGTATTACGTATAGCCAATACAACAAGCTAACATTATGAGTCCAAAATATATAGTACGCATATGAGAGGATGGTGAAACATGCATTACACATAATTTTTTTTTT